CCCGCGTTCCCCAGTCCCTCTCATCGGTTCCCAACTCGACGTCGTCGCCTGCGTCATTGCCCACTTCGACGCCACCGCTCTCGTCACCCTCCTGCTCGACGTCGTCGCTTGCATCATCACCCAATCGATGCCCCACTGCCCTCGACTTCTTCTTGCTGCCACCCCATTCCTCTGCATTGACGAGCACCAGAGCCCAATAATGAATCGTCGAACCCACCGAAGCACATTTGTTGACTAACAGCCCGTGGGTTAGTTGTTGTGATTTATTTTCCAAATTATTTTTCTGTTAATCTCATTTTATTAGTTAATTGTATGAGTATTCCATCTCTAAACTCTTATCATATATTCATTGTTTAGATTATATTTGTGAGTTGAGAGTAATTGAGCATGTGACTGTTAAAATTTGATATTGAGTGAGAATGGAATTATTCATAATTATTGATGCAAATTTTGTTAAATCCATCTGCCACATTAGTTGTTTTGAATTTAATTTCTGTCAAAGATCATGAAATTTGGTGAAACGATGTGTTATTTGATTTAAATTGCTGATTCTGATAGATCCTATGTCCCGTTTCACATCAGTTTTGGTTTCACAAACTAAATCAGTATGAAAAAACTACTAGCTGTCCCAAATCAGAACCAGTTCATTGACGATGTTGGTATTTGGAGCTATGAAGCCTCAAATATAACTACTATGTGTGTGTGTATCATTCAACACCATGATTTATATCACTAAAGTTTTTATTGTGTGTGTGTATCATTCAACACCATGATTTATATCACTAAAGTTTTTATGGAATATCACAAGAAAAGATCCAACTTACAGGGTACCCATTCTGCAACTTCCTTATCAGCTGTATAGCATCTGGTTGAAAGCTTGAGAAGATGATTGGTCTATCACCCGCATTTTTAAACACAACCTACAGGAAACAAAAGTTAGCACAAAGCATTGTAATTATAAAATTTAGGTGCTATAGTAAAAAGTAAAGAAAGATGTCATACTTGCAAGATTACTTGGAGAACATGAGTGAGCTCTTCTTCTTGATAGATAATGTTGTCATCAAACTTCAGTTCGATATTGAAACCTAAGTGAGAGTCAACCTCTTGAAATGCTTCCTCCAATGTGCAAACAGGGGAATCGTTTTGTACATCCCAGCTTAATATTTTTCCATCTTTAAGCTTCCGAAGTAATGATTTTCCCACCTAGATTCAAAAAGGTCAATAAGATTTCCTATAGCTTTTCTTCAATTTTTTATTATTAATTGTCGATTATGGGGCAAACAACATCCATTTTTTTGTCACTGCCAAAAGATGTCTCTTCTTGTTGATTGATTATCAAAAAGGACAACATTTTGTATATTTTTCCGGGTGGCACTAGGGGCATACCCCCAACCACAACCTCAACCACACCCCCTCTCTCATTTGTTACAGTGCACCGAGCCCCACATGAGATTTTAAAATTTTAAAATCTTATGTAGGGACCGGTATACTGTATCAAATAAGAGAGGGGGTGTGGTTGAGGTTGTGGTTGGGGGGTATGCCCCTATCATTTTCCATTTTTATACTATCTATAGAAATGCAAGAGATTTTGTATATTTTTATATTATCTATAGAAATGCCAGTGAGAAGAACTGTTCTAAGATATAGTTTTTTAATTTTTTTATTATAAGGTAGGCGAATTGACAATAAGAAGAAGTATAAAAAATGGGAGGTTTAAACTATATACCCCGTAATCCATCCTATGTGCAGATTTTTTTTTTTTCCTTCCAAATTTCAGGAAGAGTACGCGTGAAATAGCAAGTGGTTGGATTTGGGGGGTAAATAACATGATAAATTTTGGAGGTATATATGTAAAAGAACCAAAAATATTATAACTAAAATGTTAGAAAGAATTTTTATAGAATGTTTATTAATAATGGCTGAAATATACCTTGCCAGTTTCTTTCTGAGGACCATAACAAAGAAATTCTTCCAAATAGAGATCAGTGACTCGTCTCTCTAATATATTTCCCTGTGAAATACAACGTCAAAAAGCAAGGTTAATAATTCAAAGTTGGAAAAAATTGTGATTAATACAATGAGATTAATCGACAAAATAGAAATATAAATTTAGGAGAAATCTTACATTTTCTTCAGTAATGATGAAGTTGTCGTGAAAGATGATCGGACAGTTGTCCTTCGTCACCTACAAAAATTGCAACCATTGGTTCTCTTCTATTGTTCTTCATTCACTGATTTATATATATAAATAATATGATAAGATCAAAACCCCACAAAAATAAACTGATCAGTGCCTGAATTTCAAATTTGTAAAATAAGCTAAATTACGAGATTGTTATATTTTGTTAGCTACTTTTGCTACTAAGGTATATTTTGTTGCTCCGACAATAATAAGATATTAACTCCTATTAACGTTTACGTTGGCTGGCGATGAAGTTGCTGCCCACATGACCACTCGTGAACGTTAATTGGTAGTTAAGATTCATATAACTGAAATTGGTAGTTAAAGATTCATTTAAGGTGAGCAACAACTTCACCGTTAGCCAACTATTGTGCCTTATTGGTAAACGTAATTAAATATGATTTAATACCATAGTTGTCAGAGCAACAAAATATACCAATCTGGCATTTCAGCCTTGTAAAATATGTAAGAAATGCTTAAAATGAAATTTATAGCGAAAGACAAATAAGCTAATGATTAAGGTAAGATCAATACCTACAAGTACACACATGATGTTAGTCTGTTAGATGTGGGCCAAAAATCTCAGCTTTTACCCATAAAACTTTCTGATGTTCAAATGATAGGAGCCCTTTAATGTCTATATTAATCATGTACATAATGAATGTGATTCATTGAAAAGTTTTCTATTTTAAGTATAGATTAACAATTTTCATTTTCATGAGAAATAATTTAGATGCAACAGATTCTCCAACAGCTTCTCTATTTTCCACTTTTGGAGAATTTAGTTAGGTTTTTGGTGCAACAGATTCCCCATCTCATTCCCCAAAATAGGGATGGAGTAGAAAAAATGGGGAAGCTTCTCCAAATTTGCATCATTCTCCAAAAATTTGGAGGAAAAAATGGATTCTTCAAAATGGGAAAGCTGTTAGAGTTGGTGTAAAAATAATTTGGAGAAAATAACTTTTGCTTCTCCATTTTAGAGAAAATTTTAGAAAAGCTGTTGGAGATGTCCTAAGCTCCAAAGATGGATCTGTTACGCTATTGTCTTTCTGTTTAGGTAAATAGTTTTCTTTTGAGAAATTTATAATAATTTTTTGCTTCAAAAAAATCTTGAAATGGCTCGGATCATAATCAGAAATTGGTCGGACTGCATCAATCTTTTACTGTCTATTTCTATTTCAAATTCTATTATAAAGAACCAGATGAGCCCACGTAAGATTTTCACTGTCTTAAATATAGTTTACATAACCGTACTTTTCATGACCTAAATAATGGGAAAAAGATTGGGGAAATTTAATTTTTTTTAGAAAAAGTTTTAGCAAAAACACCAGATCTTCCTTAAAAGGAAACGCCATAGACTTCTACATTAAGTTTTTGCAAACAAAAATATTATTTTATAAAACAATAGGAAAAGAAAAGAAAAAATTGCCCTGAAAAAAAAGGGAAAAAATGCATATATTTGCGCCAAACATAAAACAAAAACACCAAACAACAAATTTAATTTGTCGAAAAATAAAATCATAAGTTGCTAGAAAAGCAAATCGTAGTCCGATAAAAACATGAACCCTGACACGTGTCAACACCAGCTTGCCACGTGTGACCTCCCAAAATCACGGACCCGAGGCCTCTTCACTTTAACCCAAAACCTCTAACCGCGGCGCCTCCCCGGCGTCAACCACGACAAAACAAAAACAAACAACACCAAAAATAGAAGGGAAAATTGCTTGGGGGAACCAACTTAATTTGGCCCATTCATCCCCACCCAAAAAATACGCATGTATGCCACAATCATATCTGTAAAAATATAACATAACACTTTAATAGAGGGAGTATGTAACGGGGCGGTAACGAGAATAAATGGGAAGTTTACTAATATGTCACATAAATACAAAATGTCACGATAAATAGCGAATAGTCACCACTGCATACTCAACTGTCAAGTACATGCCGCAAAAGAGGTCAGTTGTAGTCCGCGAAATGATCACATCAAGTTATTTGCACCGACAATGGTCACTAGCCATAACAACAAGGCCATGACCGAATCTCATGGGTTATAGCTATAGAAACTTTACGAGCCTTTTTCGCGTTCGACAAGGACTGGCTTCATATATGGAAGCTCTGCAATAGTTGATCGGCTCTGATCGAACCACTCCACTCCCCTTATCTAAAAAAAAGCCTGGAATGGGTCATACCGCTCTAGCCATGCCTCAGGTCAGCGACGTATAATGTCTGCCATTGTTTTTTTGCCCCAAGTTGACCTCAAAGGAGCGATGCCCACATGGTCAGCGTGGACATATTGGAATTATCAACACATCCTCCTCCCTTCATCTATCATCTTCTTTATGTAATTTTTGTGACATTGCCGCTCATCCAAATTTGCAAGCAGGTTCAGGCAACCATATCTGGCTTGAAAAACAGAAAAGTACAGCAAGCAAGAAGAAAAGTCCAGAAAATGCAATATAACTCAAATTGGTATTGCATGATCGTCATTAATCACACTTAAAATACGAGTGCACAATAAGCGGTATTTTCTGTTTCGACGATCGGGATTTGATTGCGCGCTGGTGAGCCATGTTCGAAGGACTTGCAACGCAGGGGCTCTTCAATGATCTGCATGATTGCAAATGTAATTTAGTTTATTGTAATTGGCTGCAAAACGTTGATTAACACCGGCCCAACTTAACAAGAAAACTAACCTCTCCTTTGAATCTTCCACCACGTAGAAGATTCAGTAGGTATCATAAATGTCTGGCATCATAGTGTGGCCTTCACCTCAAAACGATACCGGTACTAAAATAGTGGAAGACAATCAATGGTATAATGCGACATGGATTCTAATCAGACACCAAACTGTCACGAGGAGAATACAAAATGTCACAGAAATAGGCGTAAATGTCACACGGAAAACACTATATGTCACATACAAAACTAAGATGGTTCACGAGGAAAAGACTAGTGATGTCACAGAAAACACTAATGTCACATACCAAACACTAAGATGTCACTAGGATTAACACTAAGTCATCATCAACACTATAATGTATACGATACATGTATACTGGTGAACGTCATCCATCAACACTAAATTCACATGAAAAGACACTAAGGGGTCCCAAAAAAGAAACAAAACACTAAGATGGTCACATGAAAATACTATGCTCACATGAAAACCACTAAAGTCCACATACAAACACTAAACTGCACATTAGAAAACATCTGAAATGTCACAATACAAAACACTAAATGTCACATACAACACTAAATGCACATACAAACAGTGGGGCTGAATGGTCACATAAACACAATACAATGTCAACACAACAAATACGTAAATAGCTCATCATACAAACATGCTGAAGTGGTCGACCAGGGAAAACACAGTAATATGTCACAAGAATAACATTTAATCATCACAGGAACAATAATCATAAATATCACGAGATAACACATTAATACTTACTTGTCACTTCAATAGTCAAGCAAATGGGTTGGAAGCCACTTGTTTCTCATCAAGCCACACACATCTGAGAATGTCCCTCAACGGTGAAATCTAATTTGGTAAAGCCCTTCGTTGATTCGGTTCCCGGTAGCCATGACCATCAAAGGTCTTGGTGACAGAGACAATGGCATATATCAAACCCGTCTCTAATAATTTTTCTTTTTTCCGATTTCAATTGTTTCCTCTTCAACTTTTTTCCCTTCATTCCAGAGTAGGTTCATGCAACAGATGTAACTCGTTACCCGAATGCGTGTGAAACAGCAAGTGGCCTTTACCCCCTCATCCTTCACGGCCCACTTGTCGTCGTCGTCTCCCACCGCACAACGACCACCTTTCTTCCCTTTTTCACTTCCCTTCTTTGCAATTCAGTTGGTAAGAGATTCATAAGAACTTGGGCTTCTTTGTTGTTCTTTGCGGCTCATTTGCCCGTTTTTTTTAGCCACGTAACATAATACTTTTAAGAGATATTCATCGGCCGCGCCTCGGACGCCTCTCACCTTCCCTTCGTTCTGTTTTGGGAATCATCCTCAGCAACTATACTCACATAGTGTATAAAGATCACCGGTGAATAAAATATATATCACAGGAATATTCAAATATATCACAAATAATAACACAAACATCACAATGTTACTGTATAACGTTACCATTATTCAGATAAAATGTCTACAAAGGACAAATGAAATGCACATTTGTAGACAATTGTCAGCATACAAACGGGGAACTATCACAAATAAAGCAGTAAACATGTCACAGGTGCATATAAGCAAATATCACAAAGAAACGTTACCTCCTAGTTCACTGCACCTAATGGCACTGGTTTGATCACCTTCTTTGACCTCCCTCAATCTCCCTTCACTTCATCTGTTCTCTGCCTCAACTTTAGCCTGTATACCAGCTCACAGTTAATGAATGATATATCACAGATAAAAGAGAAGACCATGCAATAGTATATCAACAAGTAATAAACCACTTAACACATAAACTAGTTTACGGTCCCATTAATATAGACAAAATGTCAACAAGAGAACATAGTGAATGTCACAATAGAAGAACAAGTGCCAATACCAAAGGAACTATTCACAAATAGCAGTAAATGTCACAGAAAACAACAAATTCACAAAAGGGAGGTTACCGTCCTCAGTTCAAGTCCATCTCTCGGGTTTTGATCACCTTCATCAATGCTCGTGCGTTCCTATTTCGTTGGCTGCATAAGATAGTAAAAGGCAACATAACCAATTCAATGTCACGGCACAATATTTTCTCAGAGTAATTGTTTCCCCCTCATGTGATCCACAGACGGTAGGCCTATTACCTCTCGCTTCGTTTTGCCGTCTATTGACGTTTCTCCTGTCAGCAAATTTTTTCTCGCTTCGCTGGTTAATACGCCAATAATATCAACGCCGCGAGAACAAGTGCCTTGCTCATAGGCGTTCATTAACATCCACCAATTTCATAAGCTGTCGTCCTACCATTAACAGATAAACCCTGCATCAGTGACAAAAAGTCACAAATAAGGAGGTTGACATCATCCAAATCCATCCAACATTACCTCTTTTTGACTCTTTTTCCTTCCCCAATTGATTTTACCTAACTTCCCTCAACTTTAGCCTTCACTAGTTGTAGGACTGGGCTTTATCTCCGTCGTGTGAATCTACTCGCCACATCTCTGCTCCGTAAGATGTGGATTGCGGTTCCGATTTCTTAACAATGCATTGTAGTCCGCACCGGAACCCACCTTCTCTACCCTCCCAATGTCCAATTATCATTGGAGGCTTGGATTCATCCCACTCTTGACCGGCTCTTACTTGATCGTTAGAAAAATCTTATACTACCATAGCTTCACAAAAGACCGGCCACAGGTCAACCTCACATGAACCATATTAAGTCCACAGAATGTCATAGCTAACATGGCAATAATCACTTACAAGAAGATAAATTCACACATTACACTACAACTGAAAATCAGGGACAACATGGTCACCACCATGCGGTCACACAAAACGTCCACATCATGATTAGAATATATCACATGTAGAATGACACATTATCACATATAACAAGGATAATATCACTTAATTGGAAATATCTCATATAACAAGATACTATAATACAAGACTACAAAGTAAATAGGAAACTTAAACGAATACAAATTAGTACAGTAATGTCACATATAAATGTCATAGTATCAACATGTAAACGTAATTGATCAAAGTAAGTTTGCAAATGCAAATATACTTACAAATAGCACATATAACTCACCGGATTAGCGAAGGAGCGCAGCCGATGAATATGTCTGCCCTTCTTCGCTTCTCTCGCTATCTGAAGAGGAGTCCCACAATCCTTGTAGGATGATCGTCGCCCATGCAATTATCAACCATATCTATCGGAGCTATATATTTGAACATTATGCCGGGTGCATCATTCTTGCGGTCGGGATCCAGTATCATTGTGAGTTGATAGAGGATTTGAAGCATAACAAAATCAGAAAATTTCCGTCTTTCGTTGACTGAACAATCTTTCCAAGTAGGGCCCAAGGTCCCGTCTCTCCTTCTTGTATTGGGATGTTTGTTGGAGAAGTATGTGTTCTTCTCCTCTTTCTCTGATGTCGCGGTTGGCTTCGGTTATTCCTTCTATCATTAGAACCGGGTATGTACGCACTCCAATATTCATCAAAAGTAACGCTTGTGAGCTAGTTGGCACCTTGAAAAAGAACTTCCCTGTGGCTACCAATCCAAATACAGATAGCAAAAATCGTAGCCTGTCCGCGGAATTGTCCAAACAACACTAATTTGAAATTTGGGAAATAAGGGGTCCATACGCCCTCCATGTTCACCTCATCCGTGGAGCAATTCCATCTATGAATGTACAATATCCACGCTAATTCCAAGAAATTCTGATCAGGTCGTTATAACATAACACAACAGACTAACTTCAACTAGAGTCTAATACGGTAAAATCTACGAGTGGGCCAATTACACATTAAACTCAAATGGTGCGATTGGGTTGGAATACTTACAGATCGTCAAGGCTTGGCTCCTCGCCTGATCAGATGGAGTGAAAGAATGATTGATGGTCGACATCCACAGCGAGCGTCCACTGTTCTGGTTTTTGGCAGAGGGTACTCCAGCGACCGCTTCGCAGTTCGGGGTGGAAGGGGGGGGTGGGGGGTGATCTCGTCGGAGTTGTCGACGCGTCGACGACATACGGCGTTGCACAAGTGTATGCAGAAGAGACAAGACGACGAGATGGGTGGCGTCTAAGAGTGATCTTGAGAGACAGACGACGACTTCTCCCGGTGGGCGGTGCGGGTAAAGGTGTATCTCGTAATGATCTATGTAGGACGGAGCGGCGGCCGAATGCTTCGCAAAGACGACGAAACAAAGACGACGAAACCAAGATCTAATGTGAGTTGCCGAAACGAAAAGCGACGACGAAGACGGGCGGCGTCTTCAAGGGATGAGGGTTTCGAAGAATAGGATGAGCGGCGGACGGTTTTGACGAAGACGAAGAGCACGAAGACGGCGGAGGAGGGTTCCCAAGCGTTGGTCGATCGACAGGTGGTTGAAATAAGCTTTGAGGATGGTAGCGCGGCTCTGCAACAGAAGAAGAGTGTCTCTTTGAGGTTACAGGGTGGTTTCGATAACAATGGCCTCTCAGAAAGGATAGCGATACTAGTTAATTGAAGTAAGGTTTAAAACGTTGGGTGCCTTGAATATTTACTCTTTCGATAGAGTTGTGGGTGGGTAAGTGTAGTTTCTCTGTACTTATTTGGGCTTATGTATGTTATGTTATGCTGCCTGGTATTAAGGCTTTTGTAGGTTATGGTCTTTGGCTTGGTGTACCTTATGTGTGACATTTGAGTATTACATGTGATATTTAGATATTGTTCATCATTTAACAAGTTATTTGTGATTTAACCAACATTTTTAGGTACCAAATGAAGGTGATGGAAACAAACCCAGGAAGTGTCTTCACCATTGAACAAGAAGACACGAGATTCAAACGTTTATTTGTGTCGTATGGTGCATGCATACAGGGGTTTCTCAAGGGATGTAGGCCATTGCTCTTTCTAGATGGGACTTTTCTGAAGGATCGCTACAAAGGGATCCTATTAGGTGCGACTGCTTATGATGGTAATCAAGGCATATTTCCACTCGCATTTTCCGTTTGTGACCAAGAAAATGAAGCGAATTGGAGTTGGTTTATTCAAGGATTGCGGTATATATTGTACAATCGAACAGAACCATACAATCCACCCCATCCTCTTGTAATTCTGTCAGACGCCGACAAAGGAATAAAGCAATCTTTGAAAAATATATTTCCAGATGCGTACCACTCTAGGTGTGTACTTCATCTTGTTGAGAATTATAAATTGAAGCTTAGAGAGATGGGTTTTGCCTCAAGTGCGGCTCAACGTATTTCAAAATTATTGGAGTTTGCTGCATACAAGTACACAGAAAGAGAATTTAAAGCTGTTTTACATCAGATTAGGATGACAGATCAAAGAGCTTACCAAGTAGCTCTAAGTTATGGACCAAGTAATTGGGCGAATTCCGTATTTCCTGGTATAAGGTATGTCAAATATCATTGCCTTTACTTGTGACATTATGCTTTTATATGAATTTGAGCTTTTAAAAGTCATTTGTGACCTTTACATGTCTCGTGTGGCAGTACGCCATTAACTGTGACACTTAGCCCTGCGCTGTGATCGTTAGCATTCTCCTGCGACATTTGATATTTATATGTGACGGATACGCTGTAATTTTCATTTTTTGAAATTATTGTTTGATTCACAGATATGGTCATATCACTTCCAACGTTGCTGAATCTTTCAACAGTTGGATTCGTGTGGCGAGAACACTTCCCATTTGTGATATGATGGATCACATTCGTGTACAAATTATGGAAAGAATGAATACTCGCCGCGTGATGGCAACAAATTGGAATAGCTATCTATGTCCAGAAGCGGAAAAAATCCTCCAAGAAAATGTCACCAAGGGAAGCACTCTTGAAGTATCGCATTCTACAGCTGAAATCTTTGAGGTATCATCACAAAAATCAGTACAAGTTGATTTGGATCACAAAACATGCACGTGTCGTGCATGGGATATATTGAGAATACCATGTAAACATGCGTGTGCTGCTATCAACTTTATGCATAGAGATGTGTACCAGTTTTGCGATTGGTTCATGACGACTGAAGCTTTTAAGAAAAGTTACGAACCAATTCTCTTTCCTGTTCCAAATTATGATAAGCCAGATGTAACGGATGAAACAGTTAGCATTCTTCCCCCAAAGACGACAAAGAGACGTGGAAGGAACAAGAATAGACGTATCAACAACAGATCTGAGAATAGACGTGCAATTAGATGCTCAAGATGTCACGCTGAAGGACATAACCGAGCCACATGCACTGAACCTATCCAAGATTAACGTTTCCTGGCAGATTGCGGACTCTTTTGTGATTATTTTCTGTTACATGTTACTTTTGCCGTTTTGTTGTGACATTTTGTACTTATATGTGACGTATTACATGTAAATGAAATTTATTACATTTTGGGCAACATTAACTACTTATATGTGACATATCACCTGTTCGTGTGACGTATTACCTGTTTAGACATATAGATAATTGCGCTATTTTGTTGCGACATTTACTAATTTTGCCTTTATGATATTCTGTGTGACATAACATCCCGTCCCTCGAGGACCCAACAACATCCTGATGGAAAAATATCAAACTGAGCAACATAACAGCACTACTTATATGTGACATAACATTCTATGTGACATTAACATCCTGATGAAAAAATACGCATGTAGAAGACAAAAAAAACTCTATAACCGAGCATCATAACAGCACCAAAATCTCACACAGAATATCAAACTGTGACATAAAAAGAGCAGAAGTCACACAGCATTCTAAAATGTCACACAGCAGACCCAAAAGTCACACACAGCACCAAGATCATGTTCATCTTTAATATGGTAAAGAAAAGATCATCAGGAAATACCATCTATGTTAGTAAACTGGTTATCATTTACAAACAGCAGTTAAACAGCAGTTAAACGACCAACATCCATCACAGGACATCCAACAAATGAAACAATTACATCTAGAGTCTAATACTTCCACTCAATCATAGGTGCATCACTACCCCCGAAGTACAATAGATATTCTGGATCATCACTGTCTAATTTCAACCGTAGCTTTTTCCATTCACGCCCTTCACATATAATTTGAGCAGCAAGTCTAGCCCGTAGCATATGCGACTCCCTGTGCAAGACTTCAATGTCCATCACCTCCCTTCCCTCGAGGATCGCCTTAATGAAAAAATACGCATGTATGCCACAATCATATCTGTAAAAATATAACATAACACTTAATAGCAGGATATGTAACGGGTAACGAGAATAAATGGAAGTTACCTAATATGTCACATACAATATCAAAATGTCACATAATAGCAGCATAAGTCACACTGCATACTAAACTGTCACATAACATGCCCAAAAGTCACTTGTAGTCCGCAAATATCACATCAATATTTGCACCGACAATGTCACTAAGCCATACAACAAGCCATGCAACAATCTCATGGTTAAGTATAAGAAACTTACGAGCCTTTTTGCGTTCGACAAGGGACTGCTTCATATTGGAATGCTCTGAATGTCGACGCCTGATCGAAACCACTCACCATCCTATCTAAAAAAAGTTGGATGGTCAACATGTCTCTAGCCCATGCCTCGTGGTCAGCGGAGCTGTAATGTCTGCATTTTTTTTGCCCCAAGTTGACCTCAAGGACATGCCAATGGTCAGCGTGACATATTGGAATTATCAACACATCCTTCCCTTCATCTATATGCTTCTTTATGTAATTTTTATAGACATTGCGCTCATCCAAATTTGAAGCAGTTAGCAACCAAATCTGTTGAAAACAGAAAATACAGCAAGCAAAAGAAAGTCATATAAATGCAATATAACTCAAATTGTATTATGATCGTCATTACTCACACTAAAATACGACGTGACAATAGCGTATTTTCTTTCGACATGGGCATTTATTGGCAGCTTGAGCCATGTTCGAAGACTTGCAACCAGAGCTTCAATGATCTGATGATTGCAAATGTAATAAGTTATTGTAATTGTGCAAAACTTGATTAACACCGCAACTTAAACAAAAACTAACCTCATCCTTTAATCTTCCACCACGTAGAAGATGTAGCATATCATATCTGCATATAGTGTGGCCTTCAACCTCAAAACATAACCGACTACAAAATGTAGAAGACAATCAATGTATAAGCGACATATTCTAATCAACACCAAACTGTCACAGGAAAATACAAAATGTCACAGGAAAATAATAAATGTCACACGAAAACACTATATGTCACATACAAACACTAAATGTCACAGGAAAACACTATATGTCACATACAAACACTAAATATCACATACATGTACTGAACGTCACATACAAACACTAAATGTCACATGAAAACACTAAGGGTCCCAAACAAACACTAAATGTCACATGAAAATACTATGTCACATGAAAACACTAAATGTCACATACAAACACTAAATGTCACATAAAAACACTGAATGTCACATACAAAACACTAAATGTCACATACAAACACTAAATGTCACATAAAAACACTGAATGTCACATACAAAACACTAAATGTCACATACAAACACTAAATGTCACATAAAAACACTGAATGTCACATACAAAACACTAAATGTCACATACAAACACTAAATGTCACATACAAACACTGAATGTCACATACAAACAATAAATGTCACAAACAAATACTAAATGTCACATACAAACACTGAATGTCACAGGAAAACACTATATGTCACAAGAATAACATTTAATATCACAGACCAAATATAAATATCACAGAATAACACTTAATACTTACTTGTCAACTTTCAATGTAAGAAAATGTTGAAGCCACTTGTTCTCATCAGCCAACACATCAGGAATGTCCTCAACGGTGAAATTATGGTAAAAGCCTTCGTTGATTGTTCCCGGTAGCCTGACATCAAAGTCTTGTGAAGAAGGAATGCCCATATTCAACGTCTCTAATAATTTTTTTTCCTCTTCACTTTTTTCCCTTTTCCATAGCTCTGCAACAGATGTACTCCTACCGAGGTGTGAAACAGCAAGTGGCTTCCCCTCATCCTTCTCCCCCTTGTCGTCGTCGTCTCCCACCACAACGACACCTTTCTTCCCTTTCCTTCCCTTCTTTGGCAATTCAGTTTGGAAGGGAGATTCTAAGAACTTGGGCTTCTTTGTTGTTCTTTGGCTCTTTGCCCGTAGCCCACTAACAAATACTTTTAAAGTATCATCGCCGCCCTCCCTCCTCTTCCTTCCCTTCTTCTTTTTGGGAACATCCTCAGCAACTTTTACATCACATAGCTGTATAAAGATCACAGTTAATGAATATATATCACAGGAAATATTCATATATCACAAATAATAACCAAACATCACATGTAAACTGTTTACGTCACATTATTAGATAAAATGTCACAAGAGACATATGAATGGCACAATTTGTAGACAATTGTCACATACCAAAGGGAACTATCACAAATAAGCAGTAAATGTCACATGCAATAAGCAAATATCACAAAAGAAAGTTACCTCCTGTTCACTGCCCATGGCCTGGGTTTGATCACCTTCTTTGCCTCCCTCCTCTCCCTTTCCTTCTTCTTTCTCTGCCTCAACTTTAGCCTGTATACCACTCACAGTTAATGAATATATATCACATAAATAAGACATGAATATATATCACAGGTAATAACCAAACATTACACTAAACTGTTTACGTCCCATTATTAGACAAAATGTCACAAGAGACATATGAATGTCACAATAGGCAGACAATTGTCACATACCAAAGGGAACTATCACAAATAAGCTGTAAATGTCACAGGAAAACAACAAATATCACAAAGGAGAGTTACCTCCTCCAGTTCAATGTCCATCTCTCGGGTTTGATCACCTTCACTCAATGCCTCATCTATTTGTGGCTGCATAGATGTAAAAACAATAACCAATTTCAATTCAGCAAATATTTTCTCAATAATTTTTCCCCCTCATGTGACACAGGACATAGGCTATTACCTCTCCTTTGTTTTGCCTTATACGTTTCTCCTCAGCAAATTTTTTCTCAGTTTCGGCTTTAATAGCCAAAATATCAACGCCGCGAGCAACAAGTGCTTGCTCATAGGCTTCATTCAACATCACCAATTTTTCATAAGCTTCGTCCTACATTAACAATAAACTGATAGTGAGCAAAAGTCACAAATAAGAGGATGACACATCCAAATCATCAACATTACCTCTTTTTGGACTCTTTTCTTCCCCAATGATTTTTTACCCCTAACTTCCTCCTCAACTTTAGCCTTCACTGTTGTAGGACTGGGCTTTATCTCCTCGTGAACATACCTCGCCACATCTTGCTCCGGTAAGATGTGGATTGCGGCTTCCGATTTCTTCAAAATCATTGTAGTCCGCACCGAACCCACCTTCTTACCCTCCAATGTCCAATTTATCATTGGAGGCTTGGATTCATCCACTCTTGCCGGCTCTTTGATGTTAGAAATCTCATAATACCATAGCTTCAAAAAAAGGCCACATTCAATCAATGAACATATTAGATACAAATGTCATAGATAAATGGCAATAATCACTTACAAGAAGATAAATTCACACATTAACTACAACTGTTACAAATCAGGGACAAATGTCACACATGGGTAACAAACGTCACATATGATTAGAATATATCACATGTAGAAGACACTTATCACATATAACAAGATAATATCACATTTAATTGGAAATAATCTCATATAACAAGATAATATCACATACAAACTACAAATAAATAGGAAACTTAAACAATACAAATTAGATACAAATGTCACATATAAATGTCATATATCACATGTAAAACGTAATGATCACAGATAAGGTGCAAATGCAACATATTACTTACAAATAACACATATAACTCACCGATAGCAAGGGAGCGCAGCCGATGAGATATGTCTGCCCCTTCTTCGCTATCTTCGCAGTCTTGAAAGAGTCCCACAATTCCTTGTAGATGATCGTCGCCCATGGCAAATTATCAACCATATCTATCCGAGCTATATATTTGAACATATGCCGGGGTGCATTCATTCTTGCGGTCGGAGTCCATATCATTGTGAGTTGATAGAGGATTTGAAGCATAACAAAATCAGAAACATCTGTCCTCTTTCTTGACTGAACCAATCTTTCCAATAGGGCCTCAAGGTAGTCTCGGCCACTCTTGTATTGGGATTGTTGTTTGTTGGAGAAGTATGTGTTCCATATCCTATTCTCTGTGTCGCGGTTGGCTTCGGGTTTATCTCCTTCATCATTAAACCGGGTATGTTTACGCACCCAATTTACATCAAAAGTATACGCTTGTGGAGTCCTAGTTTGGCTATCCTTGAAAAAGAACTTCCCCGTGGCTAAATCCAAATGATCTAGAAGCAACATAATCGTAGCCTTGTCCGCTGGAATTGGTCCAAAACTAACATAATTTTTGAAATTGGAGGATCCATACGCCCTCCAATGTTCAGCCCTCATCCGTGGAGCAATTCCATCCATGAATGTACAATATCCACGTATATTGCAAGAAATTCTGATATCATGCGTACTGTATAACATAACACAACAGATACTACTTCAACTTAGAGTTCTAATACGGCTAAAATCACAGTGCCAAACACATTAAATCGTCAAATGTGAACGATTGGGTTAATACTTACATCTCAGGCTTGCTCCTCGCTGATTCAGATGAGTGAGATGATGATGTCAACATCCCAGTGAGCGTCACTGTTCGGTTTGGCAGAGGTACTCCAGCGACTCGCTTGCAGTCGGGGGGGGGGGGGCGGGGGGGGGGAGGCGTCGACGAAGGCGGTTCACAGGTGAGTCGCCGAAGAGAAAGACGACGACGAGGGGCGTCGGTGATCTTGAGAGGAAGACGACGAGGGGGCGTCGGTGGTTTCGAAGAATATGACGAGAGGCGGCGGTCTTCGACAAAGACGACGAAGACAAAGACGACGAAACCGGATCTAATGTGAGTTGCCGAAGACGAAAACGACGACGATGAGCGGCGGCGGTCTTCAGAGGAAGAGGGTTTCGAAGAATACGATGAGCGGCGACGGTCTTTGACGAAGACGAAGAGCACGAAGACGGCGGAGAGGGTTCCCAAGCGTTGTCGTCGACAGTGGTTTTGGGAGGAGGAGGGTTTCAACAGAGAAGAAAGTCTCTTTGATGTTACAGGTGGTTTCGATAACAACGCTCAGAAAGGATGGTATAGTTAATTGAGAAGGGTAATTTGGGGATAATTTTTGGGGTAATGTATCTGTACTTATTTTGGGGGCTTGATGTATTTATTTTGCTGTATAAGGGCTTTGTGGTTATGGTTTTTGGGCTTGGGGTGGGGATGAATGGGCCAAATTAAGTTGGTTCCCCCAAGCAATTTTCCCAAAATAGAAAATAGAAACAAAAAACGGAAATATTAACGGCGTTAAAGTACCTGAACATCAAACTCGACAAAATCAACGGCAAACCGCCCGGCATCGTTAAACGAAACCACCGAGTTCTCCTTCACCGCCGTCACCCTAGGATCCGGCGACGACAGCAGATTCATCCCGTTACCGCGGTGTCCGATCACCAGAAACTTTGCCGGCGGCTTCGATCCCCACCGTCCAATCTCCACCGCCTTCGTCGGCACGCGCGATGTCGCTATCGAGACATCCGGCACGTGATCGAGGCTCGGGACATCGGACACGTGTACAGCCTTCAACGCCATCATATGAACTTCAGTTATCCAATCTGAATAGTGAACGGTCTCGATTTTGAGAGTGCGAGGGCTTTAATGGGGAAGGTCGAGGGGATATTCCTCGAACGCGGGAGCTTCTCTCGAGGGGGGATATTCGAATCTCTGGAGGTGTTTTTTGAAAATTTTGGAAAGAAGGGATCGTGACGATCCGTTACGGTGCCGTTTGGCGCAGCGGCAACGTAACAGATAGGAGATGGGGCCCACTGAGGAGACGGTTTAATAGAGATTGGAAAGGGAATATGCTGTCGGGAGATGCTCGCCGTTGAAGTCGTTGACAGGTCAGCTGTACGTGGTGGGTCGTTGCATGAGGATTTTACTAAACATTTTATTTATTTTGTTGACCATTTGAATATTGATTAGGTACGAAAGACTAATCTTTTGGTTTCTATTCGTGGAGGATGACTAATTATAACAATTATTTTTGTGATTTGATTGCATATTCTATTCAAAACTGTGGATAGTTAGCTGGTTTGGGGCGTGTTCAATAGGTTTTACGAAGAAAATCATGATATATTTTTGGAAAAATTATGTCAATGTCCCAAAAATATTAACTTTATGTGACCAGGTCCTAGGGGGGCCAAACGGTTCGGATATATCCGAACCGATCCGTATCCATATCCGAACGGATGCGGATATGCTAGGCTAATTTTAAAACCGGGCGGATACGGTAACGGATACGGATATGGTTTCGGATTTTTTTTCGGATACGGATTTGGTAACGGATATGAGGGTTGCGGATACGAGTATCCGCAATGTAATAGTAATTCGGGTAATCGGGTCCCAATCTTATAGTTACAAACCCGCTAACCCAAAACCAAAACTAAAAAGAAAAAACCCTAGGCCCTCACCCTCAGCCCTCAGGCCGCCTCCACTCTCGAATCTCGATCTAGTGCTCCACACCTCCACGATTCTCCAGCGACGGCGGCGGGATTTTCCGGCGATCTCACAGTCGTGCTTAATCTTCTCCTCTACCTTCTCACCAGCGAAGGGTCGCCACTCGCCAGCGAAGAGTCGTCGGCGAAGAGTCGCCACTCGCCAGCAAATAGTCGTCGGCGAAGAGTCGCCAACGAAGAGTCAACGAAGGTTGGTCAAAAACTCGTTTCTTTATGCTCTTATTTGCCATTTTCATGCACTTTTCCTGTAAATTTCTAGTGGGTTTTTTGCTGCTGAGTGCTTATTTTTGTTTTAGTTAATACCCACTCAATAATTTTCTTAACAAATCTCTTTTAATGAACTTAGTTACTGAATGATCTGTTACTGAATGATCTGGTATATTTTAATGAACTTAGTTACTGAATGAACTTAGTTAAATTGGATTTTAATGATCTGTTACTGAATGATCTGTTATCCTCAGGCCGTCGGCTCTCGCCCACTTCGTCTTTGTCGGATCCGTCGTCTTCTGCATAAGGTCGAATCGAAACTCTGCTTTAAATTCATTGACAATATCTTCTTTCATATGTGTATAAGATTTTTGATTAAGCTTTTTTTTAATTTAATTGAATAGAAATCATGTCTAATCCTTCGATTCAAGCGTCTAACGAAGAACAAACTGTTAAGCCTAATGTTGAACCTACTATTGAACCCGTGGTTGGGGAATCTTCAAGTAAAATTGATGAAAAACCCTGAAAAGAAAAGAAGATGTTATTCTGAAGTGTGGAAAGATTTTGATAAAATAGATAAAGTAGAAAAGAAAATAGTTGATGGGAAAGAGGTTGTCACCAAAATCATTAGAGCCAAATGCAAACATTGCTCATTTGAAGCTGATGGATGTAGTATCAGGGACACTTCCCATCTTAAAAATCACATTATGAGATGTCCTAAAAAGAAAAGACCTAATATTCGTAAACAATTGGTTCAAGCTACTATGAAAAATGAAGATGGGACTTGTTCACTTAGTAATTTTCAATTTGATAATAAGAAGAGTCAAAATTGGCTTGCAAAGGTAATAATCGTGCACGAATATCCATTTAACATTGTAACACATGAGTTTTTCCTCAAGTATGTGCATTCTCTCCGTCCAAATCACAAGGTTTCAAAACGTACACATATCACAAAGTTGTGTATAAAGATTTATGAAGATTATAAAAAATCTCTATTGGACTTGTTTGTGAAATCTTCTATAAGAATAAGTTTAACAATGGATAAATGGACATCATCGTCACAAAATTTGTCTTATTTGTGTATCACCGCTCACTTTGTTGATGAATCGTGAAAACTACAAAAACGGATCATTGGATTTATCAAAGTTCATAGTTCTATGGGGAAAGACATTTGCAATATATTAATTTCATGTTTGCTTGAGTGGAAAATTGATAATAAGATATTGTCGATTACGGTGGATAATGATAAAGCTAATGATGTTGTCGTGAAATTGGAAAAAGAACGTCTTAAAAAGTGGCTACCTTGTGGTGGAGTCTTTTTTCATGTAAGATGTGAAGCACATATAATTAATCTTATTGTTCAAGAGGGTTTAAAAGTTATCACTAAAGCTATTGAAAAAGTAAGGCTTAGTGTTAAGTATGTTACATGTTCATCAAAAATGGAGGAGAATTTTTATCATGTTGTTAAACAAGCTAATGTGGAAAAGGAAAAATGTCTTGTTCTAGATTGTTGCACCCGATAGAATTCTACTTATCTAATGTTGATGATTGCTTTAAAGTATAAAGTGGCTTTTAATAGATTTGAGCTAAGAGATGATAAATATCTTCATTGTCCATCGGAGGAAGAATGGAATCATGTTGAAACATTGAGTAAATGTTTAAAACATTTTTATGATGCAACAAATCTCCTCTCCGGCACTATTTATCCTACTTGCAATCTTTTGTTTGAAGAATTTTGTGAAATTCATTTGCTTCTTATAGAGTGGTTAAAAAGTGATGATGATACAATTGTGGCTATGACTTTTGTAATAAAAGTAAAATTTGATAAATATTGGGATATGTGCAATAAGATTTTTGCGGTTACTACTTTTCTTGATCCAAGATACAAAATGATTGTAATCAAATATTTCTTTGGCTTGATTTATGGTGTGAATGGTGAAAAGTTTACAAATGATATTTTAGTTGTCATTAAGAAGATGCATGAAGAATATGCATTGAGGGACAAAGAGGAATCTAAAAATGTCGAAAATGTTTCAAGCTCTCAAATAAAAGAAGTGGAAAGAGTTGGTGATAAAAGGAAATCAAGATTTGCATAATTTGTTGAAACAATTGATAAAGAGCCTACGAAAACGGATTTAGATTTATATATGGAGGAGGGCATTATTACCACATGGGATGATGAAAAAATGGGAAATTTTGATATATTGAGTTGGTGGAAAGCAAACTTTGGGAAGTGTCCTATACTAGCAAAAGTAGCAAGAGATGTTTTGGACATTCCGACCTCGACTGTAGCATCCGAGTCCGTGTTTAGCACCGGGGGACGTGTAATTCGTTGTTATAGAAGACGAATGACAACAGATACGGTGGAGGCATTGATATGCGCATAAGATTGGATTAAAGTGAAACAAGGAGGTAAAAAATAAATTTGTACAAAATTTATCTTTTTATTTTTGGTTAATGAGCATCTAATGATTATATGTTTTTCTCTATTTTTTTTGTAGTTACACAAGTTGAAACTACAAAGGATGATGTTCTTGATGTGGCTAAGATAGTGGATGACGATGACTCAGAGATTACCGAGACCTTTATAAAAGCATCATTAGGATGTTATTTGACTCAATATTCAATAAGCACATGACTTGAAATTTTTATTTTTTTATATTTAATATGACAATTGTTCTTCTTTTTTTTTGCAAGGTGACATCATGGAGGTCTATGTGACGCCCCTGGGTTCACATAAGGCTGCAGTCCAAGGTAAAACCAAGAATGTCAAACCTGTCATGCACCACACCGTGCAATAACATGTTTCACCACCACAATTAACATCTCTCTAGTATAGTCAACAACAGGTGTAGGTACAAAAGCAAGTAAAAGATAATACAGGTGATAACTGATGAAACGATAACAACACATAGATATCTCATCATCCAGCATACAAAAATACATAGTCAAAGGCTGAAGTAGTTAAACTGGAGTTCTCAACAAGTCTCGAATATAAAATGTCTGAGTAAAAGAAATAAGGCATACAACCTTTACAACACCTACAAAATAGTCCTCGAATGTCTAACAAAAACTACAGTGGAGCTCCACAATAAAGCATAGCTAGAATAGATAACTGAACATTAAGGTGTGTCGCCATCAACCTGCGACTCTCCGGGCTCCTGGCTCGTTACCTGAAAGGGGGAGGGACAACAAATAATCTAAACAAGGAAACCCTCATGTATATACCTTGTATCTCAAATTGAAAATCCCTAAGTACCAAGCCCAGAGTCTAATACATGAACAATAAAGAAAAGACAACAATCTCATCTCTACCAATAATCACAGTTATGTCAAAGGTGCAAAGTTACAATAAGTGTTATGCCCAGCCTAGGTAGCTATCATGTCCAAACTTTATCAATATGTCGTGCTCAAAACTCAAATGTGAAACATGCTCAAGGTTTAGCAAAAATATCCAACACATAGACTAAAGGTAATGCTTGTCCAACACATGGACTGAATAAAATACATGTCCAACACATGGACTGAGATGATAAGTATCCAACACATGGATTAATAATAATGTATGCCCAACACATGGACTATGAACAAAGAGGCAAAATTGTCACTAGTACATGTGGAAAGATATATATATCCCAATCTTGCACGTGTTTTGATGTGTGGGTCTAAATTTGTGTCAAAAGTCAAACCCCATGTGTAGATAAATCACTAACATCACAAACTAGTAGGAGATAAACAAGGTGATCTCTCGAACACGCGAAAAGGTCAATAAAAAGTCAACATGCACAAAACTATGCGACTGTCGACCGCAGAGACCACTCCGGTCGACCGCTCATAGAGCCGAGATTTACTGGGCTCAAAACTGAGCGGCGGTCGATCGCTGAGGTCATGTCGGTCGACCACTCAAAGAGCAAAAACTTTTCTGCTGGAAACATCTCAGAGCGGTCGACCGCCGCGTCCACCGCGGTCGACCGCGAAGCAGACAGAAGCCCAGTTAAGGTTTCTGTCGGCTTCAAATCACAATCAAACTCGATGATTTCTCTATTAATGTAAATCTAACATTTATACAAAGTCATAGAACAGAAG